TGGCGATTGCTATGCTCTGCATTCTCCTCTGAGCTTGAATTACTTAGCTCTTTTAAGAGCTTGTTCCTGACACGCTCTCCTTGGAGGAGGGGTCTTCACCACACAGTCCTGGATGCTGGAGGTTCATACAGGGTGGAAGGAAGAGTTCTTTCCCACACAGTCCTCGAGGACAGAAGCTGATCCAGGGTGGAAGGAAGACGGCGAGACTCCAGTCAAGATACAGCGGTTGCGGAGTCTGCGGTGGTTGTGGTGTCTGCTGCACTGCTTAGAAACATAGAAACATAGAATGTGACGGCAGATAAGAACCATTCGGCCCATCTAGTCTGCCCAATTTTCTAAATACTTTCATTAGTCCCTAGCCTTATCTTATAGTTAGGATAGCCTTATGCCTATCCCACGCATGCTTAAACTCCTTTACTGTGTTAACCTCTACCACTTCAGCTGGAAGGCTATTCCATGCATCCACTACCCTCTCAGTAAAGTAATACTTCCTGATATTATTTTTAAACCTTTGTCCCTTTAATTTAAGACTATGTCCTCTTGTTGTGGTAGTTTTTCTTCTTTTAAATATAGTCTCCTCCTTTACTGTGTTGATTCCCTTTATGTATTTAAATGTTTCTATCATATCCCCCTGTCTCGTCTTTCCTCCAAGCTATACATGTTAAGATCCTTTAACCTTTCCTGGTAAGTTTTATCCCGCAATCCATGAACCAGTTTAGTAGCCCTTCTCTGAACCCTCTCTAAGGTATCAATATCCTTCTGAAGATACGGTCTCCAGTACTGTGTACAATACTCCAAGTGAGGTCTCACTAGTGTTCTGTATAATGGCATGAGCACTTCCCTCTTTCTACTGCTAATACCTCTCCCTATACAACCAAGCATTCTGCTAGCATTTCCTGCTGCTCTATTACATTGTCTGCCTACCTTTAAGTCATCAGAAATAATCACCCCTAAATCCCTTTCCTCATATGTTGAGGTTAGGACTCTATCAAATATTCTGTACTCTGCCCTTGGGTTTTTACGTCCAAGATGCATTATCTTGCACTTATCCACATTAAATGTCAGTTGCCACAATTCTGACCATTTTTCTAGTTTACCTAAATCATTTGCCATTTGGCTTATCCCTCCTGGAACATCAACCCTGTTACATATCTTAGTATCATCAGCAAAAAGACATACCTTACCATCAAGACCTTCTGCAATATCACTAATAAAAATATTAAAGAGAATGGGTCCAAGTACAGATCCCTGAGGTACCCCACTGGTGACAAGTCCAAGCTTCGAATATATTCCATTAACTACAACTCTCTGTTGCCTGTCACTCAGCCACTGCCTTACCCATTCAACAATATTGGAATCCAAACTTAAAGATTGCAGTTTATTGATAAGCCTTCTATGTGCAACAGTGTCAAAAGTCTTACTGAAATCTAGGTAAGCAATGTCTACTGCACCACCCTGATCTATAATTTTAGTTACCCAATCAAAAAAATCAATAAGATTAGTCTGGCATGATCTCCCTGAAGTAAACCCATGTTGTCTCTGATCTTGAAATCCATGTGTTTTTAGATGTTCATCAATCCTATCCTTTAACATGGTTTCCATCACTTTCCCCACTACTGAAGTAAGGCTTACTGGCCTATAGTTGCCCGACTCCTCCCTATTACCTTTCTTGTAAATGGGCACAACATTCGCTAACTTCCAATCTTCTGGGACTACTCCTGTTAACAATGATTGGTTAAATAAATCTGTTAATGGTTTTGCTAGTACACCACTAAGCTCTTTAATAGCTTTGGGTGTATTCCATCAGGTCCCATTGACTTATTTGTCTTTACTTTTGACAGTTGAAATAGAACCTCTTCCTCTGTAAACTCACGTGTAATAAATGACTCATTTATCCTTTTTCTCAACTGAGGTCCTTTTCCTTCATTTTCATCTGTAAATACAGAACAAAAATATTAATTGAGGCAGTCAGCTAGACCTTTATCCTCTTCTACATACCTTCCTTCTTTTGTTTTTAATCTAACTAATCCTTGTTTTACTTTTCTTTTCTCATTTATGTATCTAAAAAATGTTTTATCCCCCTTTTTTACTGACTGTGCTATTTTCTCTTCTGTGTGTGATTTGGAAGCTCTTATAACTTGCTTAGCCTCTTTCTGCCTAATCTTATAGATCATTTTGTCTCCCTCACTCTGGGTTTTTTTATAATTCCTAAATGCTAACTTTTTGTTTTTAACTATTTTGGCCACATCTGCGGAGTACCACAGTGGTTTCTTGAATTTTTTGCTTTTACTGACAAGCCTAATGCAATTTTCTGTTGCCTTCAATAGTGCAACTTTTAAATAATCCCATTTTTCTTGGACTCCATTTAAATTGCTCCAGTCTGATAATGACTCCTCTACCCATATTCTAATTTTAGAAAAGTCTGTTTTTCTAAAGTCTAAAACTTTTGTTTTTGTGTGGTGTGACTCAGTCACTGTTCTTATATTATTATATTAAACCACACTGATGATCACTGGATCCTAAACTTTTTTACAGTAACATCTGATACCAAATCTCCATTTGTTAACACTAAATCTAGTATGGCCTCTTTATGAGTTGGCTCCTCAACAACTTGTTTTAGAGACAATCCCAGTAGGAGTTTAGAATATGTGTGCTGCTGGCACAAGTAGCTAATTTTGTTTTCCAATTTACATCAGGAAGATTAAAGTCACCCATGATGATAACTTCCCCCTTCATTGTCATTTTAGCTATTTCCTCAATTAGTAGATTATCTAACTCTTCAATTTGTCCTGGGGGCCTATAAATCACACCTACACGAGTTACTGTGTGATTACCAAATTCTAACGTAGCCCAAACGGACTCTATGTTTGCCTCACTAACTTTTATTAGGCTAGATTTTATGCTATCCTTCACATACAAGGCCACCCCTCCCCCTTTCTTGCCTTCCCTATCTTTCCTATATAAAGAGTACCCTGGTATTGCTATGTCCCAGTCATTTTTCTCATTGTACCATGTCTCAGTAACAGCGACTAAATCTACACTATCAGTTGCCATTATTGCCACAAGTTCATGGATCTTATTCCCTAAACTGCGAGCATTTGTAGACATGACTCTAAGCTTATCATTTTTTAACACACTTGCTACAGGCACCTTCTGTCCTTGTTTTGGGGGACAATTGGATTGATGTTTTATCACCCTTTTGCCCCCCCTCCTAGTTTAAATACATCCTAGCAAAACCTCTGAACTGCTCACTGAGAACATTTGTTCCCTTTTGAGAAAGATGCAAACCATCTTTTTTGTACAGCTTATCTCCATTCTAAACAGAGCTACCATGAGAAATAAAGCCAAATCCTTGCTCCCGACACCATTCACCAAGCCACAAATTAAAGTCCCTAATACGCATCCGCCTGTCGTTCTGAGTGTTATGCACAGGCAGAACTTCAGAGAATGACAGTGTGGAAGCAACCTGCCGTATATCATTGGCAAAAACACTAAAAACTTCCTTAACCTCTGAAACCTCATTGCAAGCCAAGTCATTTGTCCCTAGATGGACAAGTACATCCAATTCCCCTTCCTGCTTTGCTTGCTTAACAATATTACAGATACGTCTCCTGTCTCTGTGAGCAGTAGCTCCGGGAAGACACCTCACAAGACCACCATTGTCCATCTCCACACCTCTTATAATGGAATCCCCAACAACAATTGCTTTCTATTAGGCCTCACCATAGTCTCCAAGCCGGTCTCCACAACACCACTAGTCTCAGTGCCTCTCTCCACAACACCACTAGCCTCAGTGCCTCTCTCCACAACACCACTAGCCTAGTGCCTCCACAACACCACTAGTCTTAGTGCCTCTCTCCACAACACCACTAGCCTCAGTGCCTCTCTCCACAACACCACTAGCCTCAGTGCCTCTCTCCACAACACCATTACACTCTGAAAGTGCAGAAAATGAATTATGAAGAGCAACAGACTTTGCAAAATGCCTTTTATCCACAACTCTAAGTCTACCAGATCCTACAGTAATCCATCTGCCTTTCCTAGCATGTCTCTGCGGCAGTGGCTTTGCAGCAGTTCCAGTCTGAGTTTCTTCACCAGATAATTTACAAATCTTAGACTTCAAAAATACAATCTCCTGCCGCAAGATAGAGAACTTTCTACAGATTAGACAACAACCAAACCTCCAAAAAGTGGAACGTGAAACAAATGCATAGCAATTGTTACACTGAACTAAGTCTGCCATTCCAATTATGAGAATAATTTAAATCTAACAAATCTTAACTTTTTTCTTTATCCTCCTGAATACCTCAGATTACCTCCAGGTTATCTCCAGAATATCTCCAACTACACACTTAGAAACAGCACCAAGCTATATTAGACAAGCTAATGACACCAAGCCTTATATAACTCCTAAAATCACCACCCACTAGGAATGTTTAACACCTGGGTAGGCCTCTGCTTATTTGCAAACAATAGCTAATTAACCAGCAATCAATAGCAAGTAACTAGCTTAATCAAATCAAATGCCTTATAATTACCAACAGGAATTCAAACCTTGTGCAATCAGTAACCTTTTCCTACAGATGAATCTTACCTGTAACAGTAGAAAAGAAAGCTCTTAGCACAACTCTTAGACAGTTGAAGCTTCTGTAAAACTCTCCAGAATATCTCCAACTACACACTTAGAAACAGCACTTTGAAGTAGCACCAAGCTTGGTGTACTCAGGAAGCGCTAGGAGCATCCGTCAATGGAGGGTACTCAGTCGGAGTACAAGGAGATTACAGTGGCCATGATCCAGGAAACTCACTTTAAAGAGGGTTCGGCACCCAGACTACAAAATAAGCATTATCCAGGTACCTACTTGTGCAACCACCCTTCGGCCCACAAATCTGGTGTGGCCATTATACTGGCGGCCGAGCTTGCATTTCGGGAATTAGAACAAGTAGCTAATTTTGATTCGCAGGGGCGCTACCTCTTCTTAAAAGGCATAATAGCAGACATGGTATACACGATAGCGACAATATACACCCCTAACAGGAACCAGGCCTCCTTCTTAAGAAACACACTGCACAAACTGGAAGAATTTACGGACGGGATACTACTTGTAGGAGGTGACTTTAACGCCCCACTGGATCCAGCACTGGACTCATCCTCGGGGCATAGCTGCCTTTCACAACGCAACATTAAAAGTATTCGACAAACATTGGACTCCCTGAGGTTAGTCGACTGCTGGAGGACGCTCAACCCATCAGTTAAGGATTATACATACTACTCGGCACTGCATGACCACTATTCCCGTATTGACTACCTCTTTATCACACAAGAGGGACTCTCCTGCCTACATAAAGCCGACATCGAACCAGCCACGTGGTCTGATAATGGCTCGTGAGGATGGAATTGGCGTCCCCTCTGTTCCGACCTTCCACGTGGACCTGGAGACTCAACGAGGCGCTCCTAATGGACCCAGACACCAAGACACAAATAACCCAGGAGTTGGAGCAATACTTCAGGGAAAATGACTCATCAGAAATATCCCCAATTTCCATATGGGAAGCTCACAAAAGCGTCATTTGCGGCGTACTTATATGCATTGCCACCCAAAAGAGGAAAGCAGCGATACAGGAAATGTCCAACCTATACCAATCCATAGCACTACTGGAACGCCAACATAAGAGATCCCAATTAAACGAAGTCTATGTTGAACTAATGGAACAAAGAAGAAAACTTAAAGAACACATTATGAGGAGACACCTCCGAACACTACAACGCTCGAAAGGCTTTTATTACGCTCACGCGAACAAAGGGGGTAAGTACTTGGCAAGACTCCTGAAAGGCCCCATGCCCTGCAGACAAATACGCAAAATATGCCTTGCCTCTGGAGAGGTAACACTCTTTCCACAGTAAATCGCTGAAGAGTTCAGGTCCTATTATCAAGCCTTATATAACCTACACCCCCCTGAGGAGGGAGAACAAAACGTGACCCAACGCACGCAGGTATCAGACTACCTAAGCGACACAATTACAAACATGATTGACCAAGACTCGGCGGTGTCCCTGGACTCACCAATTAGCATAGAAGAACTGGCGACGGCACTCAAATCATCCAAATCCGGTAAGGCCCTGGGTACTACAAAAACTTCTCGGGAACACTGTTACCGTGGTTGACCAAAGCGATTAATGCAGTGGGTGAGGGGGGGAACTTCGGCACGGAATCACTGGTGGCGACCATAACTGTATTACTGAAACCAGGGAAAGACCCCCTGTCATGCGACAGTTACCGTCCAATATCGCTACTAAACGTTGACACTAAACTGTTTACAAAAGTTTTGGCAACCAGAATCAAGCATCTCCTCCCTGACTTGATACACGCGGACCAAACAGGATTCATCCCCGGCAGAGAGGCCAGAGACAGCACCCTACGGCTCTTCTCTATTCAACATCACACAAGGAGGATGAGGACTCGCTTGATGCTCAACAGACGCAGAAAAATAGTTTGATCGCGTCGATTGGACCTACATGCTGGCAGCACTAAGACAGATGGGCTGTGGCCAGAAACTCCTCACATGGATATCCGCATTGTATAGCAAACCACGC